GTGCAGGTTTGTTACAAAGATACACACATGCCATGGTGGTTTGCTGCCCCCCATCAACCATCATCTACATTAGGTGTTTCTCCTAATGCTATCCCTCCCCAGTCCCCCCACCCCCTGCTATCCCTCCCCTAGCGCCCCCACCCCCGACAGGCTCTGGTGTGTGATGTTCCCCTCCCTGTGCCCGCATGGTCTCATTGAGAAACATCATTTGTTAGCCATAATTTTATATCGTTTGGTGTTTCCCAGTGATTTTCCTTCCATCTATGTCCATGTTTTTTCTTGTAATTTTGACTACAAAACCTCTGAGAGCTGGAACTCATTACAAACCTCACTGGAAGTCAGGAGATATTTGATAAGAATTCCTGGTGTGACCTTAAGCACATCACCTTTCCCTTTCAGGCTTTTTTTTTTTTCTTACCTATAGAAGAGAATGATCACTAAACTCTCTCCAGTTACAGTGTTATGTGATTCCAACTCCATATGTATTTACATAACCAACTTGCCTTCTTGGGGTCCTAAAAGGAAGGAAAGGCCCAGGGAACTCATCTCTTAGATATGTTGAGCAGCCGTCATCTGGGGTTAAATGAGCCAGCCTCATTTAATAAGGGGCTGGGGATTGGGGGGTGAGGTGAAGCTAGAAAGTCTGTCCCCCACTTTTGCTAGCTGGGCCAGGACATCCCCCGCCCCCCACCCCTTGCTCACCCTTCAAGATCCCCCCGCCTCCACCACCTTGGAGGCTGACCTCTTACTTTACTTTCTGTTTTCTTCCTTTCTTGGGCTTGAGGAGGGAGTGCAGGGGTGAGTATGTGTTGGGGGAGTGGTGCTCCCCAAAGGTTGGGGAGCAATATAGTACTCAGGGGCTGCAGACCCCACTAGGGTTCTTTCCTAGACACCAGCCAAAGTCCTCCTCCCTGGGCAGCTGTCTTTCTAGGAGGCCACTTTCTTTTTTTATGTTAATTTTTCTTCTCTTTTTCTCCCATGAGTCATCGGGAATGCGAGAAGGCCACTTTCTTAGTGACTGCTGAAGCTTGCTCATCTTTGGATGCAGGCCCTGGATGCTATATTACATATGCTGGGCAGTGCGCCCATGCCAGGGCTGGGCTTCTGTGTGTTGTTTGGAAGCTTCCTATCGCTGCTCTGGGGATGGGGGGAACATTGCATTTCCAACTGAGTATGGTATTTTGGGGGAATGATGTTTTGTTCCTTATCTTAAAGGGATTACAGCATGCCTTGGCCTCCACTATAGAGAAGCTTGGGCCTTGTCAAAGAAGTGTAAGGATCCTTCTAATGGCAAAACCCCAGAGGCATGACTATCTGTGTGTAAATTATGCTCTTTTGGTTCCAGGAAATAGACTCATACAGGCCAGTCCAAGTAATGGCAGTGATGTAGAAATGGAGGCAGTGATCTCATTATAAAGTGGTTGTAAGAAGGATGGATTATCCTAGAAATCTAAGACTAGAAACCCCAACACAATTATAAGCTTCATAGAAATAGATTCTGCAGTCCTCATTCTGGAGCTCTACCACTAATGTGGCCCAAATACTCTTCAGGGGTCAGCTTCCCTCAGCTTCTCTTCCCCATTCTAATGATCTTAGTCCTTACCAATGCACGCCTCTGGTGGAACACAAGAAAACTTAGTATTATTATTATTATTATTATTATTTTGAGACAGAGTCTCACTCTTTCACCCAGGCTGGAGTGCAGTGGCGTGATCTTGACTCACTGCAACCTCCAGCCCCTGGATTCAAGCAATTCTCCTGGCTCAGCCTCCCTAGTAGCTGGGATTACAGGCACATGCTACCATGCCTAGCTAATTTTTGTGTTTTTAGTAGAGACGGGATTTCTCCTTATTAACCAGGCTGGTCTCAAACTCCTGACCTCAAGTGATTCACCTGCCTCGGCCTCCCATAGTGCTTTGATTACAGGCATGAGCCACCACACCCGGCCTTATTATTAATTATTACTATGAGTGAGACAGAGGGAGAAAATGGAAACCCAGATTCCAAAGGGAATAGCTCGCGTCTCCGAGAAGCCTGAGGCTTAACAATTGAATTGAACTGATTAAACTTCTATCGACAACCGTTGTGTCAAGTCAGTCTACCTGGACACTTCTTAGCTGCATGACCTTGGACTAGCTCCTGCTTCCATTTCCCCATGTCTCAAATGGAACGTTTGTAACCCAGCATGGTGGCGTGCCCCTGTCGTCCTTCAAGTGAGTACGATCGTGCCATTGCCCGCCAGCCTGAGTGACAGAGCAAAACTCCATCTCTAAGAAAAACAAAATAATAATAATAAATACTAAAAATTAAATGGAACATCTGCCTCTGGGTTTCCGTCCCTCAGGGTTGTAGCAGCAGGAGCCTGTTCTCCACTCTCCACCCCAGGATCTGGCTGGCAGTAGGAAAGTGTCTTCACCCCTCCTGCCTCAATCCTTTCTTGGATCAGACGCAAGACTTGAGCTTGGTGATCTTACTTTCCCATCCTTTCCAACTCCTAAATAGCTCTACATAATTCTAACCACCCCAATTCTCTGGGCTTACCCCTTACACAACCTCGTCATCCTGGTCCTCAGAAACCCTTCCTCTAAAAATCCCACAATGTAGAGAAGAACATCATGCATATTCCATGTGTTGGTGAAAAGTTGCATTTGCATCATGCTTTTTAGTAAACATTTTATATTCCCTTTGCCCTGACTTATCTCCTTAGAGGCAATTCTTTTTAGTTGTTATTATTGATTGTCAATTGGCTGCTGTTACTCATGCTTTGATCCTCCCTTTTGTTTAAGTGGCCACCCACACTATCTGCCCTCGCCCCTCCTTCTCTCTATTAAACAGTAATGAAATGCAAACAAACTTGGAGGTACTCTGGGAGCAGAGGGACCCTGGGGCCAGCTTCCCTTCGGCCTGTGAATTGTCATTCCTGAAGCTGTCTGTTTTGTAAGTTCTTCTGCCAAGTTTCTATGGGAGCAGAGGGATCATTTTCTCCCTTTTCAAAGAGCAGGGTGAGTTGAGGACTTGAGTTGGCAAGTCCTTTAAAGTCATTTTCAAAGGAAACCTGAACTGAAAGGCCATGCAGCTGGCAGAGGGTGCTGTGCCTTTCTGAGGCTCTCTGTGGGGCGCTGGGTGGTCAGCCCCCATAGCTTCCCAGCACGTGCTCGGAGCCTGCTGCAAAGGCACTGCCAAGGGACACAACTGCCCAGCAAGCGGGCCCACGGCCCAGGGGACAGGCTCGACTCCACATGCCCTCCCCACTGCCACCCAGGAACAGGAAGGGAGAGTGCAGGCTTCTCCTCTGGGCCAGTGACCAGAACCACACTTGTCCTCACTGTTCTCAGGTCAAACTTGATCCTTGGGGTTTTTTAAGGTAAAAGAAAGCTAGGTGCCAAAGCAAGTGAGGGTGAACTTGCATCTGAATCAAGGAATCATAAGTGGTGTAGTTCACTCTCACGGACAGGTTGGAGAGGGGACCCAGAGGGAAAATGGTTTTCCCAAGCCCCACTGCAGGAGGTGGCTGAGTTCCACCACAGGGCTCTTGGTGGTAGAAGCACCTCGGCAGGGATAGAGGTTTGCTTGGGTACTAACCATCCGTAAAACTTCTGAGTCTGCAGATGTCTGGCAATCACCCAGCAGACACCCCAAAACCTCAAATGCACTCGGGCTGAGAAATACATGTCTGGGGTCACATGCCTTCATACTGCCCCATGAGCCGAGTGGAGAGAAATTGTTCATGAAGCCAGGGAGCACGACAGGCCTTCTCACTTCAGAGAATGGGTAAACTGAGGTCCAGAGGAAGACGAGATGCCCATCTGTATGTCGGTAGAGCTAAAAGGGAAGTCATTAAAAGCTTAGCCTAGGCTGGGTGGGGTGGTTCACACCTATAATCCCAGCACTCTGGGAGGCTGAGGTGGGCAGATCACCTGAGGTCAAGAGTTTGAGACCCGCCTGGCCAACATGGTGAAATCCCATCTCTACTAAAAGTTCAAAAAGTTAGCTGGGCATGGTGGTGTGCACCTGCTATCCCTGCTACTCGGGAGGCTGAGGCAGGAGAATTGCTGGAACCCAGGAGGTGGAAGTTGCAGTGAGCCGAGATCACGCCACTGCACTCCAGCCTGGGAGGCAAAGCGAGATTCTGAAAAAGAAAGAAAGAGAGAAGGAGAAAGAAAGAAAAGGGAGAGAGAGAAGAGAGAAGGAAAGAAAAAGAAAGAAAGAAAGAAAGAAAGAGAAAGAAAAGAAAAGAAACAAGAAACAAGAAAGAGAAAGAGGAAGAAAGGGAGGAAAGAAGGAAGAAAGAGAAAGAAAGGAGGGAAGGATGAAGGGAGGGAGGAAGGGAGGGAGGGAGAAAGAAGGAAGGAGGGAGGGAAGGAAGGAAGGAAGGAAGGAAGGAAGAAGGAAGGAAAAAGAAAGCAAGCTTAGCTTATTGCTGAGGGGGCAGTCCTTCCAAAATCTCCCACCTGAGCTCTTCAGAAACAGGGCCTGCAGTCCACAGTTCCTCCTGGTGCTGGGATCCAAATGTGCGTCCATGCCAAGGCACCAGGAACAAGTCCCAGCCTCATCTCACATGGCACTCCTTTCTGAGAACGCAGCAGCCGGCAGCCCCTCCCCTCCAAGAGCGTTTCCCACTAGGTTAGGAGCTGAGGGAGCCAGACCCAGGCCAGGCCCCATTCCCACACGAGAAAAGCCCTCCAGACCAAGCCAGCTTGACTTTTCAACATTTTATTCTTATATTTGTACAGCTATATTTTACAACGCGGTAATGCAGTTTAGACACAGCCAAACCCTGTCTCCGGAGTAGTTATAACACAAGCATGACGCAGAATGGGATGAGACAAACGTTCCCAAAGAGAGTTTAGTTAGTAACAACTTCAAGTCCCTGTGTCTGCCTACGCTTCAAAACGGAATGGCGCACGCTCGCCCATCATTGAAAACTTCCATGAAAAAAGGCACCGTGAGGACACGTTGTACAGGTATATACAAACTGAAAACTAGAACAAAATTACACGTTTTCCTTCTGCGGGTTTTTTTGTTTTTTTTTTTTTTTAATACACACTTTGTAAATTGTAAACCTTCACTTGCAAAAAAATACAAATACACTGAGGCATTTTAGACAAAATATTTTCTTACTTATACAGATGCAATACTTAAAATATTCTCTTAAGTGCTCTTTCTCAATAAAGATTCTCAGATCCGTGTCTGCCTGCAGATACAAAATCGAGCCTTTAACGCAGTTTTATATTTTTAATATATCTTTTTTAGGTTTATATATATTTATTTTATATATATATATATATTTATATATTTACAGCTCTGCCATATATTCCTTCACCTTTGGTTAAAAAAATTAAAGCCCTCTCTTTTATAACATACCGAAGTCTTGTCTTTTAAAAGAATGCACATTTACATACAAAAGAAACATCTGTTCCCACGAAACATATACATTCCTCATTTTGCAGACTAAAGTCAAGTCAGAACTTTTTGCGTACTCCCCGCTTTGACATAGAAAATGATTTTGCTTTTTGCTGACGTGGTTCACCTTACACATAGGAGAAGAAGCAATATTATTTTCTTAATGTTTTATGGCAGTGGGGGAGGGGGAGCTGCCGTGACTCCCAATCCCCCAGGCCCCGACCCCCGACACCCCCCACCCCCAGCTATGATTTGCACTAGTGGATGAAAGAGGCACTACATCATGGGATGAACATTGTAAAGTGTTACAGTATCCTTTGGGTAGATTCTGAGAAGGGGCTGGAGAGGAAAAAGCATCAACACTCCATGCTTCAGCAGGCTTTGGGGAGCTCCGGAGGCAGGTCTGTGGCCGACACGCGGTATTGCACCTTGGTGTTGGTGATGGCGCCATGCTTCTGGCGCAAGTGAAGTCGCAGCTGGCTTTTGTGACGGAAATGCAGGTTACACTTCTCACACTGCAGGGACAGCAGAGGCAAACGTTAGCTGTCATCAACCCAAGAAAGGTGTCATTGCTCAAAGACCCAGAGAAGAAGATTTTCCCTGCAAGGGACTGGGACCGCTCTTGACTCTTGAAGACCAGATGATGAACCCATATGAATCCCGGCTTCTGCCAACAGATAAGCTAGCATCGTGCGAAGGTCCGTTCCTTGCTTTCCCAAGGGTTGTTTTTGCTTCTCCCTTGCTACAGACGTCCTTCCCTGCCTTGACTCCACAAGTTCAAATCTCATCCAAAAACAGTTAGATGCAAACTCCTCTCCTCATTAAGGCATTTCTGAATCTCTCAAGGATAAAAATAATCCCTCTTTCCTTTGAACCTCTGTAAGATTTCTGGCGTTGCCACCTAGCCCTTCGTGTGCATGGATCCTTCTTAAGTGAGTAACACTTCGAGGGCAGTGGCTAATTTTATCTAAACTTTATAATCTTCCTCGTGCCTAACGGAATATACCTCTTCGTCAAATTATGCAATTAATCTGAACACATCTGGACAAATGGACTAGGTCAATCTGAATTCATGGGAATTCCGGAATCTAGAGTAAATATTTTTAAATGCAGTTATATTCTTTCCTAGGGTGTGTAGCTTAGAGAAGCTAACTAAACATTAGCAAGTGGAGCTATTTCTTGATTTAATTCAATGAAGCATTTTAGTTGAGATAAAAGTTAATTAAATAAAATGAATGACTAAATGTAATGGGTAATCTAGATGAGTTCTTGAAAAAGGACGTTTTTAGATAAAAGCAAAGAAAATGTAAATGAAGTATGAACTTTAGCTTATAATTATATATCAGTATTGTTTCATTAGTTGTGACAAATGTATTGAACTAATGTAAGATGTTAACAATAGAGTAAAATAGCTGCACGTAGGAGCCTTTGGTACAATCTTTGCAACTTTTCTATAAATCAAAAACTATTCTAAAATAAAAAGTGTAATGGAATATGTTCAGGTAGAGTAAATGTTTTAAAGCAAAAATGGAAATAGATTAAGAAAAATTAAAAATGAGCAGGGCCCTGTGTAAAATCTCTGGTCTTGGGAGACACAGGGTCCACTGTATCTGTGCCATTCACCGCTGTGTGTCCCAAGTATGTCATTTCTCTCTCTGGGACTTGGATCTCCCTTCTGAATGGCCTGGGTCAATATCCACTGAAAAGTCATTCTCAACTCTGATATCCCATGCATCTAAAATTTTAGCAAATCATTATTATCACTCATATTTATTGTACTGTTAGTATGTGCATGCACTATCCTCAACACTTCAATAATTAGTCAATACTACAACTCCATAACATAGGTATCATTATCAAACTCATTTTACAGGTTAGGAAGTTAAGCTACTAAGAGGATAATGAATTTGCCCAAGAACAAACAGCAAGTAAGAAGATATTCACTCACTGCTAGATAAACAAGTGAACAAAAATAACTGTGTCTCGCAGGTTAACCTCTGGCAGGTGGGTTAACCATTCATTGATTCATCCTTGTTCCCATCACCACCTAGAAGGATGTCAACTCCCCAAAGTAACCATAGGCAAAACGTACACAAATGAGCAGGCCTGTGTTTCAATAACCTTTTACTTAGAGACACTGAAATTTAAATTTCGTATAATTTGCATATGGCACAAAACATTCTTTTACTTTTGCGAAAAGACATTCCTAGTTCATGGAATGTTCAAACATTGGCACACAGGCTGTAGCTGCCGAGACCCCACCCTGGAACACTACGATCCCAGTGGCCTGTCCACACTGTCGTGCTGCACGGTGGCCACCTCCTCTTTCCTAACATGACTTTTTCTATGTTTTTCTGTTTTTTTTTTGTTTTTTTTTTTTTTCTGAGACAGAGTTTCACTCTCGTCGCCCAGGCTGGAGTACAATGCCGTGATCTTGACTCACTGCAACCTCTGCCTCCCAGGTTCCAGTGATTCTCCTCCCTCAGCCTCCTGAATAGCTGGGACTACAGGCATCCAACACCATGCCCAGCTAATTTTTATATTTTTAGTAGAGACGGGGTTTCACCTTGTTGGTCAGGCTGGTCTCGAACTCCTGACCTCATGATCCACCTGCGCCGGCTTCCCAAAATACTGGGATTACAGGCGTGAGCAACCACACCCACCCCATTAATTAATATAACATTCTTCTTGTTCTCCTCCTCGTCTGAAGACTGTTCCTTCTCAAACACCTTAGCTCCTCTTAAATGTGCATCGAACCCAGTATGGAGTGTCCAGCAGGCACTCAGTAAGTATGTATGAAATGAATGAATCTATGTGGAATGAATCAAATCTATGTGTCCATAGTCTAGACTCCTCTCCTCAGGCCCAGATCACCTACTCCAGTACCCCCCATTTTAAAGATGAGTCCCCTAAGGCTTGGGCCAAGGTGGAGCAGGGTGTCTGACCATCAGGCTCAGATGTAGGTCTTCCAACTATGAGTGCTGTGGTTGATCCACTGTGTGCTTGAGACAGGAGCAAACAGTTCCACTGCCTGCCTGCTCCGCCTCCTTCCCCGCCCTCCCCATCCCCGCAGGCCAGAGAGTGGCCCCAAGAGGCTTACGTACATGGTAAGGTTTCTCTCCCGTGTGGATTCGCAGGTGGCTCTTCAGAGTCTGAAGGTGCCGGAAACGGGTGCCACAGATTTCACAGGGATAGGGCTTCTCGCCAGTGTGGATGAGCACATGGGCACGGAGGTGGGCCACCTGAACGAAGAAGAAAGCATGAGAGGTCTTCTGGCTTGGAGTGCAAGCCTCTGGGCACCCATCATCAGCACCCACGGACTGAGCGGCCTTTGCCAGGCCACTCTGCTCACCTGTACAAATCTGGCTCCACAGGTTTCGCATTTGTAGGGCTTCTCTCCAGAGTGAATTCGAGTGTGGGTTTTCAGGTTGGCTGGCCGGTTGAACTGGGCCCCACAGATGTTGCAACGATAGGGTTTCTCACCTATTTCCAAGAAAAAGGGAAAAAGGAAAGCCATGTTCAATAAGGAACGTCTCCGCAGTCCCTGGCTCCTGGATTTCTAAGAAGACTCCTCCTCCCTGAAGTCACTCCTGTTTTCCTTTCCCTTAGGGAATGTCAGAGAGACAATCCAGGGGCCTGTCCCCATGCCTGCCAGCTCTGTTTCACACACACCTGCATATCTTGCAGGGGACCAGGGCCAAGAAACAGGTGGTGGCATGGAGTAGCAACAATGCCAGGTGCAGAACAGGGGAGGGGGAGGTTCCAGGAAGCCTGGGCTTTAGGACCAGCTTTGTCATTAGGATTTTCTGCCTGTGGGACCTGGACAAGTCACTCTCCTTCTCTGGGCCTCAGTTTCCCTCTCTGGAATCTGAGGGGCTGCTTTAGGTTACCTGGGAAGGCTCTTCTAGCTCTTCACTTGGATAAGACAGATTCGCTCATCAACTCATTCACCAGGGAGACACAATCAGGCTGCTCTAGTTTCTCTTTTAGAACAAACATATTTTTCCACTTGTGGCAACTACAGCTGGATTCCATTTGCAAGAGGGGCGGGGCGTGGGTCTGAGTAGATGCTCAGGCAGAGGAAACCAATAGAATGGCTGGACCTTCCTTCATGCAAAGTTTCTGCATAATGGGGCCATATACAGAACTGAGAGAGTAGATTTTAAACAACAATCAGGCCAGGAGAAGCTATCTGGTAATGGAAGGTGAGCTAATAAGGAACAAGTCATTTGAAAAAATCAAGAGGCCTTCAGTTTTTTTCTGGCTTTACAAAAATCGAATCTGTTTGCCTCTCCCAGACTCAGTCTCCTCACCTGTGCAGTGAGATTAACACTTCTGACCTCAGCAAAGGCAGGAAAGCAGGATAGAGCATCTCAGAGGAAAGACGGAGGGTACAGGGAGTGAATGAGTCAAGTCGCTAAGCAAAAACAAAACATGGTCGGGCCCCTCGTTCAGGCCAGGATGGGGCCTGCTCCCTGCCTTGCCCCGCTCGCCTTTCTCTGGGATCCTCTCCCCGTCCTGCCCCCATAACTGTGGAGAGGTCCGGTCGTGTGCGGCAGGGTCATACCGGTGTGGACAGTCTTGTGGCTGGCGAGGTTGCCCTTGTAGCGGAAGGAGGCCTGGCAGCGGTCACACTTGTAGGGTTTGTCACTGTGGGTCTGCAGCGTGTGCCTCTTGAGTGAGGCCTCCTCAGAGAAGCGGCAGTCACACTCATTGCAGAAGAAGGCTCCGTTCTCTGTTGGAGGGTGGGAGGGGACGCCAAAGTCAGCACGAGGGAGGGAGGTAGGGCTCTCAGGCCTCCGTCCTCTGTAGCTATCCCCTGCACCAAACTGAACCCCCAGCCCCTTACTCACCCACCCGACATTCATGGGAGCTTGGAGCAAAGGATCTGTGGGGACTTTTCTTGTTCTTGGCATTTAGTCTTAGCCAGAGAAGGGAGAACAGAGATGGACTGAATTAAGGTACAGAAGGGAAGCTCAAACACGTAGGTGCTCAGAGGCCCTGCACCAGTTTGAGGAAAGCACAACACAGATATTCTTTCCCCAAGAGCTCTGAGAATTGACTATTAAAAATAAGTTTTCAGTTTTATTTACACTTATACACAGAAGCTCTCAGGCGAGACTCTACCTCTGAGCTCCTCTCTGGATCTTTGTCTTCAAAGTCAGATAATAAATCCCAGTTCTGCCTACCTGACAGGAGGATATTATGTTACACAAAGTAAAACACAGAGCATTCTAGGAATGTAAGATATAGGTCAAATTCCATTCTACTGAAGGAGGAATTAATGATAAACGCTCCGTGGCCACCCTTACACCTATCTGGATCTCATATCTTCCAGATCCTCCTGTGAGACTGGGAGACCAAAGCTGATGGTGGAAGTGGAAACAGAGGCCCAGAGAAAAGGAACTGGAGTGCAGAGCAAAGGCAAGACAGCCACGGGGCAGGAGGGGACAGTCCCCACTCTCCCACCTAGGGGTCTGTGACCCTGTGCCAAATCTCTTGGTCTAAGTAGCTAATTATTTTGTTCATTTGTTGGAATGATTTGAAAATGACAAATCATGGTGATTTAACTCTGGTCAGGTACTACCGGGCTCTATTCCTGTAGCCAGAGCTGGGTGAATAACTAGAATTTTTTTGTCTAGTGAAAACTGGGGATGCCAATCACCGACTATCCAGAAATGCCAATTTAGTAATTCGCTTCAACTCTTTTAACTTGGCTAACATTACTGAGTTCCTACTCCATGCTAGGGACTTACTACTACCTAGGGGGGATACAAGAATGGGTCAGATGCTTCTCCTTATAGCATACACGGCCTGGCAGGGAAAATAACACGTACACAGGTCAGTCCCAGTAGTTTTGGTATTGAGGAATGGAAAAAGTTCTGGGCATTACAGGCCAGCCCCACAAACTATTTTTGCTGGAATAAACCTGAAAGACTGTGTGGTAAGTCTTGATGACCCCAGGTCAACTCTAATACCCCATTCCTTGCTGTGGTTAGCCGAGCTCCCTAAGAAGCAAAGCATGGGATGAACGGCTGGTGACTCTGAGTGCCAACGGACTTCCAGTTAGGAACGGCTCCAATCAGAGATAATGGCGTTAAGTAAAGTGGATCACAACACTCATGGAGCAGAGGGGTCTTCCTTCTCCCTGACAAAGGGCAGAAGGGAAAGGGACGCACCACAGCTGGAATCCGAGTACTCAGACTGGGTCTCTCCCATCTCCTCGGGGAACGTGGGTCCGGCAGTGTGCAGGCACATCTCTGCATGCTGTGGGGACTGAGAGCCACAGGACGCGCACTTCGGCGGGTGCATGTAGAGCGGTGAGTGGCTCTCACTGCTGCTGCGGGGAGAGCCCGTCAGGGACCTGTGGGCAGGGGTAAAGACAGCCTCAGCACCCGGGGCAGGGCCCTAAGACCACCCTCTCCTCCCTGTGTTTACACAACCCCAGAGGCAGCGGCTGGGCTGAGCACTCAGGCTCTGAGACCGCAGAGTTGTCCTCGAGTTTATCTGCAAACAGCCTCTGCAGAAAGGGTCAAACTGGCCAGGGTCAAACTGAGCCAGAGCTTCCCCGGAGCCCACAGCCTCTCTCAGTCAAGGGTAGCAGGATGGTCCCCGCCACATCAAGACCACAGGAAGTGCCTGTGGCATTTACAGAATGCTATTCTGCCCCAGAAGGGAGTTATCTCTCTTGCTATGAAAAAATATACACTACTTAACATTTACTTCCTTACTTAGACTAACTCAGTCAATGGACACCGATTCCACACCTCTAATAGGCTCAGCAGTTCAGGCAAGAAAAGAACAAACCCCTGCATCCATCAGAAGAAATGATGCAGAGCCCTCCCCAGGTAACCTCTGACCTCACACCGAACTGTCTCTGAAATCACCTGTTAACGATGTTATTGAGCCGGCTGGCTTGTGGGATGGTGGAGTCCTCCCCGCTGGCGCTGAGCTTGGTTGGGGACTGGAGGTCAAGGTTCTCAGGCTCCATGGGTGGCTGGCAGACAGGCGGGGCGGTGTAGGCTCGTGGGGAAAGGCGGCCCAGCTCAGCCTGCTCTGGCCCTTCTGGTTTGGCATTCTGGTTGAGGCTGTTGAGCACGATGAACTTGTATTTCTTCCAGTTGCAGGCTTTGGGGTCAGTGGGGCTCTTGGCTGGAGGGGAGCCAGAGGCCTGGAGGATGCAGGCATTCTTACTGCTGCAGGACTCTGTAGGCGAGTTGGGCTGGCAGTCAGATTTCTGGGGGCTCTGTGGACTCACCAGACCCTTCCGGTTCAGGGGCGCATTGGGGGGCTCGAAATGCAAGGCAATCTCATCTTCTGAGGAGGGTCTCTCTTCTTCTTTGCTGGCCTTGTCACAGGGGAAGTAGGGGGCGTTTCGGGCTGAGGGGGCAGCAGGCTTGGGTCCCTCGGCCACACCGTAGTGCATGTCACTTCGTGCCTCTTCTGGGACTGTTTCCTTGGGCGAATAGATATTGCCATGGCACACGCCAGGGGACTCCTCTAAGGCCAGCCGGCTGTACTCACCGGGGACTGGCCTGGCACTGTCGCACGGGAGGGCCCGCTCCTTGGGGAAGGGGTTGGCCACAGGCATGCGGACATCTCGAAGCTCCTCATCGGAGAAGAGGAAGCTGCTGACGGGGAGGTGGCTGTACATGGGGTAAGAGGCTGGTGGTGTGGACAGGCCACTGTACAGGCTGGGGGCAAAGGCTCTGCTCTCACACCCAGGGGCACTCCTCAGCGGCAGGCTGTTCTCCACCACCTCACGGCCCCGATAAGCCATAATGTCTTGGGGCATCAGCATCCGGCTGTTGAGGAACTCTTCACGGGGAGGCTTGATGGCAGGAACCATCTCTGCTTCACTGTGGGCGGAAAAAGGAGGAAAGACACCGGTCCCAAATCAGAACTGTTAAATAGATGACCTTCCAGGGACACTTACATAACCACATCTGTGCTTGAATTAGCTAGACATAGGTGACATGGTTCTGGAGCAGGGAAACAGAATTACAACGCATTTATGCTAGAAGCCTGAAAATCCAGCCTACAATTGGGAAAACTGAGGCCCCGAGAAGGGCAGTGAGTTCCCGGCACGATCTGTGCCTGATTAGACGTGATCTTCCATGTTTAAAGCACATATCTATGCATGTGTGTGAATCTATAGCTCTTCCAATGTTATAAAATTTTATAGCTCACATAAAACTTTCAAAGCCCTTGTCTCATTTCGCCCTTGCAAAATCCTGAACGGAAGGAAAGGCAATGATTATTATCTCCATTTTACACACAGGGAAACAGGAAAAGAAGAACTTATCCCATGTTGGCATGACCCTTTTGGAGGCTCCTACACAAACGAGTAACCTCCTGAAGAAAGAACTTGCCCCACATGCTGATGAAAGTTTACAACAGAGAACGGGCAGCAAATGCCAATGCAAGAACAGCCAAACCTGGTTTGCAAACCTGGCTGTGCCACTTAGCACCTAGGTGACCTGGAGCAAGTTGCTTAGCCATTCTGAGCCCAAGGCCTGACCCACTGAAAGTACTTGTAAATGACAGCAGTGATGATCTTGCCACCATTATCACCCACAGGAGACAAAGAACTCTAGCTGTATATACCTGAAGGGACATTATGTGGGCAAAAGAAACAGGCCAGCTCACCACGATCACAGTTAATGGAGCTAGAACCAATCAGAAGGTTAACGAGAAGCCGAAAAGAGAAGCTTTCTAACTGTCCAAGGTATATTGTGTGGTTCTGGGAACACTGAGTTCCTGGCTCCTGGAGATTTTCAAACACAGCCTGGAAAGCCCTTCTGTTTGAGTGAGGATGCAATCACCCTAGCATGGCTGGATCAAATGGTTCTAAAGAAGTTAAGCTCTGAATCTCTGTTCCACTTAGCGAAGCTCTTCACTTCTTTGGATCTCAAGTTCCTCACCTTTAAATGAAGGTCATGTCTAACCAACCCTTGGGTAAGAGGTTAAACTCAGTGAACTCCACTGAATTCAATAATGTCCTGCGTAGAAGGAGCAGCGTGACATAAAAGATAAGTAAGATAGCCCCATAACCTTGAGCAGCCCACAGTCTAGTAGGGAACTAAGGTACATATGTAAATAGTTCTAACAGAAGAAGGAGAACTAAAATACATATGCAAATTTAACATAGAAGGAAAGTTTAAAGCACAGGCCAAATGCTTCGCAACGCGGAGGAAGAGCTGAGGGAGGAAAAGCGGTAATCAGAAAAACATCCATGGAAGGGCTGAGATCCAAGATTGGCCCTGCAAGATGGGTAGGCAGAGAGGGCATATTAAGTGAATGGAAGAAAGCAGGATGCGGTAAAGCACGGGACATCTCTGTATAGCCACAGGAGTTAAGTGTGCCTGGGACACAAGAGTTAAGAAGAGCAGAAGTGTGCAACGAGTGGAAATGGGGGTTGCAGCACATCATAGAGGACTATTTTTTTTCTGTGTGCATGAATTATCAAAGGTTTCTGATCAAGGACTGTCTCTGCCATCTCCGAGGCTTCTACCCAGGTACCAACTCACCTGGCCTTGATGAACTTCCGGCAAGTATCCACAACATGCTCCATCTGCAGGTACATAGCTGTGGCCATTACGGCCATGATGTTGCCCTCCCGCAAATTGAGTCGAGACGTGTACATAAAGTCCAGGAGGATGCAGAACCCCTCGGGGTTGATCTCAGGATCTAAATTGATCACACTAAGGTTGCATTTCAACTGGTCTGTGAAGATGCTATAGAACAGGCCACTGTAAAACAAACAGATGTCCCACTACAGTAGACATATGGAATCTGTGATCCATTACAGTCAGCATTGACACTCAGCCCCTCTCCCATGGGCCCACCTCCAGAACTTCCACGGTAATCAATACTAGCTGCTATTTATGGAGAGCTCACCAAATCAGAGAGTCATTAAGCACCTTACGCACATTATCCTTTGCTCCTTACAACCCTGCAAGATAGGTACTACCATTCTCTGCCTTTACCACTGGAGGAACTAAGATCAGAGCGGGTAAGTGAATATTCTTAAAGTCACAGGGCCTGTTTTCCTTTTAGTCTTAACTATACGGATTACCAGAGTTAAATTTAGCACTAATTTGCAGTAACTATTCTTAGTCTATCCTTGGCATAAGCATTCCCTCTTGTTCTATTGTTCTTACACTTATTTTTTTTAATTCTTTTTTTTTTTTTTTTAGAATTTAGGTATGAATGACAAAGAAATAAAAATATGCCTTCATCTATGCTCTACTGCTTTTATCAAAGTCCATAGATTAACAGAGGGTCAGTTATTCCTAGAAGACCCAACTCAAACCCCAAGCAATGCCTCCAGGTGCCACGCTGCCTGGTGGTGGAAAGAGTACTCAGTTGTAAACGAGAATCCTGGGCTACCATCTTGATTCTCAATTCTACTATTTCTGAGTGGGTTGCGAGAAGTCAGCCAGACTTCCACCAAGTAGCTATGCGACTTTGGAGAAGACACTCGCTTCTCTGCATCTCGCTTTACTCTTCTTCAAAGTAAGAGCGACAATCGTGTCTACCTTATAGTGTTGTGCACGAATGAAAATGTAAATGATATACAATGATGCCTGTCATATAGTAAGCATTCACTAAACATCGTCTATTACTTTTATAACTCTATAAACCTCTGTTATTTCCACTGTTAAAAAAACAGGTGCTTACAGTAAATGTTGGATATGTTATCACACAGCAACAGAGATTCCCTGATTCTATGCCATTTCCCTCCCTGTGCTTTCCTTTCACCATCTATAACATGAAGGCCATAGTGCAACATGACACTGAAGGCTACTAGGAAGATCCAGGGAGATGACATCACGTAATATAGAATTGCTCTGAAAACTCAAAATACTTGATAAACATGAAGAATCAGCTAGTTCCCTCTTATTGACTCTTACGTATACTCTGAGCACCCATGGAAATTCAGTTGTGGCATCAAATAAATCCATTTATAGCATAAAAGAGCAAAATATTTCAAATTAACTTGTTTAAGCTACTTAAAGACAAAAGTTCATTTGAAATCTTTTGTCATTTTTTCACTTGGTTAACTGAAGTTACTGTCCATGTCTGCCCCAAACACATCCTTTCTCAGGGCAGTATACAACTTTTCTCCCACTATTCCTACAGAATGTGACTCTTTCTCTTCTAAAAGTGCACTCATTCATTCACTCCTTGGGCGCCTACCCTGCCAGGCCACGGTGCTAAGATCTGGAGACAAAGTGAGACATCATCCCAGATGCAGTAAAAGGCGTACATGTTTCACGTTGCTTAGCTGCCAGCACCATCACCCTACTTTGACTCACCCACCCTTTCCTTTCAGACCCCTCACCTGCAGGCCATGAGGACTGTTTTATGGGCTCTAAACTGCTCACGGCTCACAACAATGACAACATCAGTCAAGATGTCTCGACTCCGGAGACGATTAAGGTTGAGAAGAACGTCACTGGCATGGCGGGTGAACTGGATACAGCTGTCAGCCGGCGAGGCCATTTTGTCTTCACTTGAAAAAAGAGGCCAAAATCCTGTTAGTTCTCCAGAACCTGTTTCCTGCTTGACACGGGTATCAGAGTAGGTGGCTCAGCCTGCTGAGGTACAGAGTGCAACTCGGGTCCTTTGTGTTGGATCTTTGAACAGTTCATACCCCAAGTGTGGCCATTATTCTTCACAGTTGTAAAATGGGGACAGTAACTTTTATCCCACAAGTTGGGATAGAAAGCTCTTTAGGGGAAAGGCAAGGGGGATGAATATTTGCTGAGTGTTTTTCCCACATACCAAAGATTCTGGCAAGCACTGAGAGGCAGTGAGTATGCTGAAATGGAGAGATGGAGACATGGTGTTTTAAGATTCTCAGGCTAGACTTGTCTTCTGCTAGCTGTGGGACCTTAAGCAGGTTGTTTACTCATTTTTGGCTTTGGTTTCCCCAGACAGAAGTAGTAATACCTATGTGGTTATAAAAATTAGAAATATATTCCTCGTTCATAGTAGGTTCTCAAAACTCACAGCTATTCTTGGACGTCTCTCATTTCATTATCTCAGTCACCATTGGTCTATCCCGAGTTGCCTGACTTTTGTACCTCAAGGAGCTAGCATATTGCTGGTGAATAATAGCTGGCTTAATTAGTTTGTACAAAGAAACAGTAAGAGAATGATTGACCATACACACGTTAAGACAGTCTAACATAGAGGTGAAGGAGTGAGGACCAGGAGCGATGTAGAGGGAGCTGGGCATCCTTGTCTCGTATAATGAACGGTGGCAAAGTTCACAGAGCACATGCATTGGCAAAAAGAAACAGTTCGTCCCAACATTTTAAAGCATATAATTTGATTTACTTACCCAATGTCTTGCTTCAAAGTCCAAAATTTTGCTTAAAACCTGCAGAGAAGAAAGCAGACGGGAATTGATTTAACGAAGGTAAGACTGTCCACTATAGTCTTATTTTAGGACATACACAGTTAGTTTTGCTTTGATAGCTGCAGCTTGCCAGCTGGTGTGGTTTTACCACAAGCTAACAAACGTTTTCCAGCTCTGCTCTTACGGAAACAACAGGCACCCGAAGCTATGAGATAATAATGTTTTTATCCTGAGTACTAGGAGTACAATTGCATACATTAATTACTTATACATATATCCATACATACATGTATTTCCTGCTTCAAAGAAAAAAAAATTATACCATCCAAAGGCCATTTGAGTTTAAGGGAAAGAAAACTACGAAAAGTAGTTCTGTCAACATTAATGATAATGATCCATCTGTGGCCTGAATATACCGGATGCCATTCGAAACCTGCTAAAATATTATCTTTGAAGTCTTAGGATGATTTCACAAGGATGATAGGGCCAATATCTTTATCCTTATTTCACTGGTGATGAAACTGAGACTTAGGGGTTCATGTGGCTTGCTCAAGACAAACAGCTAAGCAGTATTTCCTGCCTCTCTGAAACATTAAGAGTGGATATAGGCTCTGGAGAATACAACCTGAGACGTCATGTCTATGTATTCCTTGAAAACCTTTGTCTTCTTTTTCAAAATTTTCTCTCCCTGTCCTACTGGGTCTAACACCAGACAGAATGCTATTGCTTCCAAGTCTGTGCTTCTCCCTGCTGGTAAAAGACTTTTAACTATGTGACTTAGCTGAGAACTGGCCAGGGAGCACTAAACCTTCAAGAGATTTAATGAAATGTGTACCTCTTCCAAACTGGCTTCTCTAAAACAAAATCATTAAAAGCACAGGTGTAAGACTCTCATTTACCGTCAAATGTGGGCTGAAAAGCAAAGCAATATTTGAACTGTCTTTCCCCCTTTAAAAAAAAAAAAAAGTAGAACCTTTTAGAGCTATTTTCCGGGTAAAGGGGCCCGAGGCCAGCAAGGTCATGTTGGGCCATGTAGATGGTTAGTGGCCCGGCCCTAGGTCTTCTGGCTCAAATTCCTGTCCCCTTTCCAAATCAGCCTACGTGCTGTAGAACATGCAAGACAGCACCCTGATGTGGGTGAATCTCATTTTTAAGTTCCTTCCCCCACACAAACACTTTGCCCCATTCCAGGCTGCTGAGTCTTACCAAATGAGCACTCTAAAATGAGAGGTTTCCTTGAGTCTGTAACCAAACACTCTGACATTTCTCTGTGGTCCCAAGTGCCAGTCACTCAATCCCATCGGCTCCAAGGTTAGTGTGTGCATGTGAGCAAGTGGGGGCTGCGGGGAAGGAAGTGGGGAAAGGAGAGGACAGAAAAAGACCAAAGAACCTATCCCCTCCTCTCCCCATCCAACTCAGGATAGGCCAAGACAGCTATACTAACTCGGTCTTAACCAAACTGCAAAGATTTTCTCCTTCACAAAAGAAAGCTGAAGACACATGGGAGGTTTACTTATAAACTTGCCTCTCTTCCCTCATGGAAGCGATCCTCAAACACTTCTGGAATACCTAGGCTGTTCTTTAACCAGCTTCAACCACCAGCTCGCTTGTGGATTTCCAGGCACAGGCTTCTGGAACCACAGGAAGCCCAGATTTGCCATTTCACCATGACAAGTGGCCATGACTCACTCCAGATGCAGAATGAAACAAACAAACAAGTTCCCCTGTGTCCACGGTCAGTTGGGACTTGGGCTTTTCACCTTAAGCCTCTGCCTGACCAAAAGCAAATAAATAGACACACACAAGGCGCAGGTCCTTATCAAGCTCACTCCTTTGTAAGCCAGCTCTTCTTAAGAGGCCCTCCCCCCAACTCCTGAGCCTGGGGGTTGAGTGTGGGCAATGCCGTCACCGCCCCCACCCTAGACGCCGCAGGTGTGGAAGCACCACCAGCATTTAGTTTGCTTTGGTACACAGCTCTCGGTCCTTTCCCACCCCTCACGATTGCATCGTATCCTTCTAACAGCCCCGATTGATCAGGGAGGGAACTGAAGCTCCAGGTGAGAAGCCTTGCCTAAGATCTCAAAGCCAATTTCCAGCAAGTCCTGGACAGGTCGCATCTCCTAGATTCAGCCCTGCCGCCAATGCCACACACAAGACTACCCGCAAAAACAATCTCCGAGGAAAAGCAGGGCTGTCAATGAGAAACTGACAGCCGCCGCCCCCAGACCCGGACTTCCCATCCCAACGTCCCGCACCCCCGCGGGCTCAGTAACCACCATGGGAGAGCTCGGTGTTTCCTCCTCCCTTCTTCCCTTTAGCTCCTTGGGAGCTTTCCTTGTGCATATCCAACTAGGCTCCTTGAGAAGGCAGATCCATTAAAAGAGCTTTCCACTGAAGAAGAAAACAGGAACCAAAAATAAAAAAGCAAAGAGAGAGAAGACAGCAGCAGAAGCCAGAGAGAGAGAGAGAGAGAGAGAGAGAGAGAGAGAGAGAGAGAGAGAGAATGAGAGAAGAGCCAGGGGCGATGTTAAGAGGCAGAGAGCTAGCCAATACCAAAGACCCCATTCTTTTCCTCCCTCCTCCCCTGGGCTGGCACCAGGCAGCCCCATTTTCTCCTTCACACACAAGAGCACAAACAGGAGCCCTGCGGGCCGGGGCAAGCCTGGGCAGACCTCACTGCCCCACCCCGACGACACCGTACCTGTCTTCCAGGGACTGCCCGCCCCTGGGCGATCCACCTCCAAGCCCCCCGCAAGGCGGGACCGAGACTTTGTGGGATGACTGTGGCGGCCCTTAATTTAGTTACATTCAAATAAAACTTTTCATGCACCTCGGTAGCTAACATGGTGTGTATGCCTTTTTTTTTTTTTTTTTTTTTTTTTTTTTTTTTTTTTTTTCCTGTTACGCCGTCAAGACATCAGGCAATGAGGGGAATGGCACAGCCCTCTCATTCCCGGAACGTAGTCAATCTCGGCTCTGCGGATTTCGCAGAACCTGCTCTGCCTATCGCCGGCTCCAACGAGAAGTAACTTTCCAGGAAGCTGCCGGGCCCGGCAGCCGCCAGGATCGCCGCCTGCGCTGCGCCGGCCGCCGGGGATTCACCCGGGGAGGCGGGGCCGCCGGGGAAGGCTCGCGGGGAATACAGCACACTTTCCCCTAAATCCCTCGTCTGCGCCAAGTCCAGGGCTCTCAGAGTTCACCTAGTCCAACCTCTCACCCACAACAGTTTATCAACGGGGAAGGTCAGTTAGCAGCAGAGCTGGGACTAGAACCCAGGAGTTGGAATCCAATCCGAGGCTCATATCGTGACTTTAAGTTGCCCGATTCCGAAGTTTATTTGCTTTTTTTCCTCTTTTTGCCTTCCATTCTCCCTCGCCCCCCTTCTTTTAGGGGGATGTTAGGGCGAGACTTCAAGGTCAAAAAGATGGAATCCCTACTGCTGAGGGTCTCCATCAAAGGCGCCCCAGCCAAGGTTGGAGAAAAACTAAACCGAAAGCCCCTTCCGCCGACGTTGGCAAGAACGGGAACCCAGCTCCGCTTGGTTTCCGCCCAAAGTCTTCAGAATAGGAGCTGCCGGGCCGTAAGGATTTCTGAACCCGATTTTCCCGAAACCGTAGAGACCCGGCTTGGACTGGGCAGAGGCCCAGCCCCGACCCCTGCGCGGACACGGGCGCTCTCCACACTTGCCTCGTCTTCCCGCGGCCCTCCCGGGAATGATAACCCCGGGATGCCCTGTCCTATTTGGTCTCGGTAGCAGGCTCCGGGGTGCGCTTTTAGGGGTCAGGGGACAGCGAAAGACTCAGCAACCAAGGCCGCAGTCAGGTCCTAAAACCAGCCAGTGGCGCCACGCTGCGCCGCTCAGCCCTTCTGCGGCAGCGGAAAGGTCAGAGTCGGTGCGCAGAGGCTGAGCCTCTTCGGCCTCAAAATTCTACATGGAGGCCTTCCCACCCCTTCGCCCGGGGGGATAAAGGTGAAAGAGAAGGCTGGGTTTTAATATGGGGTAGGGATGAGCATCTGGGAAGTTAAACTCAAGTAAGTGCATTTATTGGCAATTAGGAGTCCCGTGGTTCCGGGAGCTCAGACCTAAGGGTGTTTTTGCCGCTGCCTAACACTAGAGAGAGCCCTCCATCAAGGTTTGAAACCGTCCAGCCCTTTCTCGCCCCTCCCCTCCTTCCCATTGACCTAGTTTGGCCAGAGCCTCCTGATTTGGAGAATGCCTTCCGCCCTTCCCCCCGACTCTCCAGCCAGGCCGGCTGTTGGATTATTGGTAATCTAATAACTCCAATAACTCGCTGAAAAATCCAAAGGGGAATTTGAAAGTGTAAAGCACTGTTTAGGGACAAGGACAAGGAATTTTAATAAGGCTGGAGCTGCCGGAGTGAACCCCGCATCAGGGGCCCTGCGGTGGGGCTCCCGGTCTCCGTAGAGTCTCTGCACGGCCGTAGACACCACTGTGGTCCGGCGGCAGGGGGTGAGGTCAGACCGCTGAGTTGTTTTTATTCTTAGGGAAAAACACTCTTCGCCCTCTTGTCTGGGGGACGGGAGGGTGCGGGAGGCGACAGTGGATAAAAGCAAATTTGATAACACGATGGCCTCGGCAGCCGCTTTAGGTAACCGAGGTGTCCGGGGACAAGATGTCCTGACTTTCATTTCTATCACGTTTCCTGCCAACAGCGCTCTTACAAGCCTGCAAGCTTCTAGGAAATGCAATAAAACAGAAGGATGTGTTTTATCATCAAGATCTGAAGAGGAGTTGCAGAAAGGACGCTCCCCAAACGCTCAGCTCAAGACAGCCTTCCAGAACGGCTCGAAGACAGTGCCAGCAAATCACGTCCCGGGGCAGAGATCCCTCGGCCATCCTGGCTGGATTGGGCTCAGCCTTTGAAAAAAAAAAAAAAAAGGCTGGCGGGGGAGGGGAGAGGCATGATCTCCTCAAGCAAACAATGCCTTTAAAAATTCGATCTGGAAAGAAGTCAGCCAAGGTTCTTATTCACGTTAATGAAGATGGAAGGCACTAACTGTCCTTGGAAAGCGATGAGTCAAACTTGACCGCGCTTCAAACACGTTCCCAGATTCGTTTCCAGCCCGAACAGAGGCGCGTTTCTCCGACGCGGCCTCCGACGGCTCCCGCAGTGGGAGAGGCTGAACTCGATCCCCGCGGACCCGGGCGGGGGCGACGGCGCCGCCTCCCGCTGCAGAGTGCGCCGGCCGCCGCTAGGGGCCGCCAGCCTGCGGACGCGCGTTTGCCATCTTAAGTCACGAGCTCGGAAGAAGAAAACTTTACGGAGGGGCTGTTGTGGCACGGACTCTGGCCAGTCCGCGTGGCCCCCGGCCCCTCACACACACACACCCGGTTTCTCGCCAGGCAGCCATGCAAGGGATGGAAGGAAGGGGAAGAGAGCGGTGTGAGGATCGAGGCTCGCCCCTGCAAGTCTTTGGCCCAGGCCTTCACCCCCGACCCTGCCTAACACGCGAACCCCCGAGCTCGAGACCCCCACCCCTCAGCACCATCTGGGCTTTTCCTATTACCGAAAATCTGAAGCCATATTTTCTTTAAAAAAAAAAAAAAAAAAAAAAAAAAAAACAATTCCTCCAGGACTGCTGGGGAACGGTTTCCAATGACTGCTGACAAACAAGGCATCCTAAGAGGTTGGACTCCTGGTTCTGGCCGTCGCTCCTTTCTCGTGGATACTTCAAAGGAGCTGAGATCAACCCGCCTTTGACTCTCAGACACTGGCATGAAATTCAAAAGCTTAAAATCTGGTCCTGGTTAAGTCACTAACTCGCCACTAACAAGCCTCCTCGTCGGGCCTGTTTCCTCAACTGCTAAAAAAAAAAAAAAAAAGAGTTGTACTTCCCAAAGCCCCTGAGCTCCCAGAGGGCATCCTCCCACTACCGACTCCTCCTGAGAAGGGCCGCGGGGACAGGAAGATGGTGGGTTCGAAGCGGGTTATTTGTGGTTTCTCTTAGTGGAAATAGATGCTCATCGCTGAGTGACGGTGGACTGGGCGAGCAGCGACGCCTTTCCGATTTTCATCCCTCTTGTCAAACAAAACTTTGGAGGTCGTGGGCCTGGAGGGTGCCCTCCTAGCCTCTGGTCGGGGTACGGCCGCCTGCCCGCCCGGGAGGTGGCACCGCGAGCCCGCCGCCCCGGGCCGCGAACTCGGCCTCAGCCCGCCACCAGGTGGCAGGCCAGCCCGTCCGAGGACCGCCGCGCGGCCGCGGCTCCACTCCGACCCCGCCCCGCCCCGCTTTATTTTCTGTCTGGTGGCGGCGAGGGTGGGGGTGGGATTGCCTCTAGAAGCAAAGCTGGAAATCGTTTAATTCAGTGGATGTCATTCCGTTCTTCCTGACGCTCCCGCCTGTAGCAACCACAACGCGGGTATCCGGAGCCGGTTTCATGGACTATAAGTTGATTCCCCCCGCCCCCCTCCCCGGAAAAGCTTTATGTACTGGAAAGGGAAAGTAGGCGCACTTGTCTTCAAAAAGGCAGAATGGCACTCGACTGGCCAAACACTGGTCCTCCAGCAAAGAAAGTCGGGAATAAACTCCTGATCGCCTCGGCGGAAAGGGGCGCTGGGGGCCGAGGGCCGGGTCCCCGCTCAGGCTCACTGCGCCGGGCAGAGCGGGGGCGTGCTGGGGAGTCGGGCGTGCGCCTTCGGTGAGGCCGAGGGTCTCGGAGAGGACCTCGGGAGGGTCGGGAGGGGCCGTCCCCGGCCTCCACGCGGGCCTGGCTGCCACCGCGCGGCACCCTCGCTGCGCTGGCGGCCGCAGCCCCACTTGTTGCGCAGCGCTGGAAAGCGGCACGCGCCATTCCGTGTTGACTCACAGAGGGCTGCAGCCCAGCCCACCGCCGCTCCACGCCATCCACAAACCTCCTCTACACACCCCCTGCACACACGCCCTACCAGCGCCGGCAAAACGACGGCCCTTCCAGCCACTCCGGCGTTTTACACCAAAACATCCCTCACGGCATCAGACAGGCAGCAGAATTCAGATGCCCCGAGAAGTCATTCCGAGGGGAAGGGCGGGCCACCTCCGCCCGGAGAACTCTTCTAAAAGTCAACCAGGCACCCTCCCCCCCGCCCCACAAAATATATATACATATATGAGAACCACGTTGCCTAGTATAACATCATCCTATCTGGAAAGCAACATTCTTCTTCCGTACTTGATAAACTGCAAAGTCCTTTTTGCTTTCCAATCAGTTGTATCGCCCTTATTTTTTCTTTTTTAAATCTCTGGGGGGAAAGCAATGCTTCATCAGGTCACTTCCCAGTATTTCCCCAAAATTGACTTTTGCCAATAGTTTCACCTACCAAGGGGTGGCGCTGCTGCACCACCTCCTCTCAATCTCTAAGTTTTTCACAACAAAGTGGGTTGTGAGTGTGACTGCCCCGCCGGGGAGAGGGAAGGAAGGGTTTTGACATCTATCCATGGCTACCATTTACTCAACCAATAACTGGAACTCTTCAAGGGCCCAGCAAACGACAGCTTAAGAATCTAGAGTCCCATCCCTGTCCACCAAACCCAGCATAAATTAGTCTTTTCAAGAAAGCATTGGGATAAAACCCTTCAAAACTGAAAAGAGCAAACGGATAATTGGAGAATTACCACTTTTCCTGACTTTCTCCCTCAAGTCGCCTAGTTTTGATGAACAGCATCTAGGCTTCTTGTCACTATCAACAGACCCTTAAAACTAGCCAATGCTTCAGCTTCTAGTACTGGAAAATCTTCCAAATAGGATACTGGAAACTTCTATTTATAAACTTGGGGTTGGGGGTGGGGGTTGGAGGGATATTTCCCACTACAGGTTTCTCTTTTGGCCCAAGACTCAACTGCAGTCATTAGAGTAAAGGAATGCCCATCTCCTGATACTTATTCGCCATTTCCTCCTTCCCCGGAGACCAATATCTCTTCTTCTCTTTTTAAAAAAGCATATATTTTAAAGCAATAATGTGATTTCATCTCTCTCCTTTGAGCTCATGTTTGTTACCTCCAGGAACAGCGTGTGGACTAGGGCCAGATGAACTTCAACTTGGGCTGCAGATTTACGAGGTTCTGTTCCAGTGCCAAAGGCTCTTGGTAGTAAATAGTGAGCAAAATAGATACCTGTCTCCTGATGGATCCTGCCGCCCCCTCTTTTTTTTTTTTTTTTAAGTTATTTATTAAAACCACACACACCTTGCAAAGAAAAAGGGAAACTGGCAGTCTGTGTAGAGGAAGCCGGTGGCATTGCTCAGAGCCACAAACTGTATTTCTAAACAGCCCTTTCCCTGGTTCCCTCTCTCCTGCCCCACTTTTTATTTTTTTTTTAATCCAGACTGTAAAAAACACAGCTATTGACACTCACTTTACTTTTTTTTAAAAAAAAAGAAGAACAAGAGAAAAAGTAAAGCGTTACAAGACTTTCCTCCTGGAAACTATAAACTGATTGAAAAAAAAAAATCCATAAAAGATTAAATCCTGGTGGGTTGTGGGGTGGCGTGTGGTGGGGAGGTGGGAGGGGAGTGGAGATTGGCTCGCTGAGATGGTCAGGGGCCCTGTAACAGCTTGAGACTTTCAGCACCTGGTTTGGGGTCATTTATCTGCTCAACTGTCAGGACCCCCCACCCCCAAACCCCAGCCACCAACTCAACCATCCCGGGAGGGAACACAACACATAGGGTCTTTTTTCATTTTTTTTTTTTTTTAAATCGGTTTGGTTGTGTTTTTGTTTTCCATGGGGGAGCTTTAAAACTCATTATTGCAACACTAGTTCCATTTTTCGCCAGGGTTCCAATAACACGGCATCATAAAGGCAACGCAACCCACAGTTCTCAAGACATTTACCACGGTCACTACATCCGGCAGTGGGGTGGCCCCTAGCTCCTGCTCCCCACACCCCCCCCCCGCCCCCGCCGTTCTCCTCGCCCGCCCCCGGAGCTCAGCCGATTTCTGAGGCTCCAACTCTGCCCACTCCCTCCCCAGGCCGCCGCCGCCGCCGCCTTCCCCCATTCTTACTCCCTCGAGGAGAGCCACAGGTTGCAAATCCAACCAACCTCGCAATCTATTTTTTGCAAAATCACTCACAAAGATCTTCCTTTCGCGCCCGCGCCCGCGCCCGCTCCTCCCGCGCCGGGTGCCCCCAGCCAGAGCCACAAAGTGCCCTTCTCTCCTCCCGAGTCTCGCACAGAAGGAACGCGGGCTGGGGCTCGGTTCGTCTTTCTCCTCGCCCAGGGTAGGGACCTCAGGAATCTGACGCCCGGCGTCCACTACGCTCAGGCCCGCAGTTCCTTTTTTACAAAGCTTGCACCACGGGAAAAATAAAATAAAATTTAGGAAAGGGAGGGAACAGCCATTGGGAGCCAACACAGAGTCACGCAGAGCCCAAAATACAAACACCGCGGCGGCCAGAAATCCCGCCACCTTTCTCGTTCTCCCGGGCCGTCCTGTCGAGGTGCCCTGAGTACCCCGCACGCCGAAAGGCACCGCAGGTGCAATGCGCACCCCTTTCCCACCCACCCCAAGAAGCCCTGTCCCGCCATCAGCCTCTCTCTCCTCGGGATGAGCAGGGAGAGCGCGCGGAGGCTCCCGACTCCCTTGACTACAACCAAGAAAGAATAATTTTCAAAGTGTTCAACACCCCCGCCCCCAAGCTCCCCAAAACACAGGGGCAGGGGACACCAAAACACTCGTCTCTCGTTAGGAAGATCAAGGCTCTTAAAGGAAATAGTAGACACGATACTTCATCTCATCTGGATTTATGACCAAAAACAAAAACAGAAACCCGAGGAGTTCGCTTGCATTTTTTTCCTTCCAAATCTCGGTTCGGCTCGAAGGCAGGGCATCTAAAGGACCGAGGCCGGTGGAAGAGAGCCAGCGGGGCCAGCGAGCGGGCAGCCTCCCTTTTCGCCTCCCGGAGTTACCCAGAAGGACAGGGGAAGGGAAGGAAGACGCGGCGAGGAAAAAGAGGAGGGAGGGAAGGCGAGGCCAGGAGCGAGGGAGCAAGGAAAGCAGTTTGCAAGCGAGAAAAGAGGGAAAAAACACAGCCGCACGAATCCAGAGAGAGCACAAGCCGTACGCAAGCAGCAGCAGAAAGAGCGAGAGCGCGAGCGCGCGTCCTCTCCGCGGTCCGGGGCCAGACAGCCCCCAGACCTGCCCGAATCGCCCCCCAAGCACTGTCTCGTCCTCTCTGCTCCGGCCGCCCCCTAACTCCCCTCCTTCCTCTCCTCCACCTCCTTTCCAAAAACCAAAACAGCACAAGGGAGGGTGGCAAAAGCCTCCCCAAACCGGCCGATTCACTCAAACACAACAATAATAATAATAAATAACATTTTTAAAAAATCTATATCCTAGAGTGGGAGAGACGTGGGACTAATCTTCGGCATTTATTTTAACACCTGACAGCTAGAATAAATAAATATATACATTTATATCAATAGATACACATAGAAAACTTGGAGCCAAAGCATTTGGCAAGAGCGGAAAAAAAAAAGAATTAAAAGGTAAAATAATGATCATGAGCAGCGGCGGCGGCAGCGGCACCAGCGGCAACAGCGGCGGCGGCAGCAGCAGCAGCAGCGGCGGCAGCAACAGCAATAATCACCTGGTGTCCGGCCTTTCCTAGAAACTTCTTGCATCACCACTTCTAAGAACCCCAGTTCTAAGAATCAACAGAGCTCAATTCTCGGAATTTGAGCTTCGGACTTTACCACTGCTACGTGGCAGGGGAGGACCTGGTGTCAGCTCGCCGAGATTTTTGCCTCCCCTGGCCGATCAAAAGCCGTCAGAGCCACAAGATTTTTTTACCGGCCGGCATATTTCGAGGTCCTCATCAGCAGAGCGTCTCGGATTTGGAGGTTCGGGTTCGAGGCTGGAGGGGCCTGCCTGTGGCTCTCCCTCCCGGGGCCCGGGACGATGGTCTGGCCTGCTCCGCCACCGTCACGTGGGCTCCTCCTCTGTGACGTCGGCGCCTTCGCTGTAGCAAAGCTCGGCCTCTGGAATTCTGAGAACTAATTTGCTATTCGGTGACATAAGAGGGGGAGTGCGCTTTGCTTTCCCGGGGTCTGGGGCTGATTCCTCCTCTCTT